AAAGGGAGTAGTGATACCCTGGTGGTAGGGGGAAGGTGAGGAGAAGAGGGAGAAATGGGGAGCCAATTACAGTGATTGACGTAACCACCACACCTCCCCAATGGGGATGAACAGAATCGTGGGTGAAGGGAGACATAGGATGGTGTAAGATATGAAAATAATAATAATTTATAATTTATCAAGGGTTCACGAAGGTGGGAGAGTGGGGGAAGGAGGGAAAAAAGAGGAGCTGATACCAAGGGCTCAATTAGAAAGAAAACGATGATGGCAACGTATGTACAAATGTGCTAGATACAATAGATCTGTGGATTGCTATAAGAACTGCATGAGCCTCCAATAAAATGATTTATTAAAAAAGCGTTGCATCAGGATTGATGGAAGATTCATTAACACTTAACAGTTTTGCAGCTGACATATCCATGCTGTCGAAAGGAAGGGTTATTTATAGTACGCACTAATGAACATCAATTACTACAGCCTTTAATGTGTATTATCCCTCAACATAAAGAAAATAAATATCCTTACCGATCAACCAGTAACAAAAATTCAAGTAAATGGGAACATATTGAACTTTTTAAGGTTTAATTTTGCTTAGATTCACAATCAAGGCCCCCCAAAAGCAGCAGTCAAATAATCAGTGTATTGCATTGCAAAAATCTACGGAATAAGACCCATTTTAAATGTTTATAATGTAGGTGTCACTTTGAGGTGTAAGGTGCACCTGGAAAAACTAACGTCTAGTATAAAGGAGAAAAACTGGGGTTTCCACTCCCATGAAGAATTGTAGACTTGGCAGTGTACAGGAGCAGTCACACCTGGCTCTTTGGAGCCCTGGGAGTTGGCAGTAAGTTTGCTTTCTTTGTTTCTTTGCTTGCTTCCTTGTTTAACGTTCACGGGAAAGCTGGTTCATGAATTAGGAAGGGGAAAAAGGATGCATTCGAAGTGTATTGTCAAAATTATTAACTGCACTATGGACTACCAGATTCAGAAGAGATGAATTCAGCAGAGGATGTGGAACAAGGGATATCACTGCTGATGTCAGAAAGACCTTGGCCCACAGCAGAGGACACCAGAAAGATGTTTATTTGTGTTTCATTTAGTGAGCAAACACATTCAACTGTGTAGGCCATAATAAGCTATGGATAACCTTGAAAAGAAAGTGAATTCCTGAACAATTTATTGTGCTCATTTAGAACTTGCACAGGGATCAAGAGGCAGCTGTGCAAACAGGACAAGGGAATACTGCATGGATTAAATTCAGGACAGGTCTGCTTCGGGGTTGTATCTTCTCACCATACTTGTTCTATTTCTATGTGAGCAAATCATCAGAAAGTTGAATTATATGAAGAAGAATTGGGGTAAGGCTTACTAACAACCTGAAGTATGCAGATGACCCAATTTAGCTCGCTGAAAGTGAGGAGGTTTTGATATACTTGCTGATGAAGATCAAGCATTAAAGCTTTCAGTATGGATTACGACTCAATGAATGGAAGACCAAAATCGTCAACGACATGAGAAATGGAGAAGAGTTTGACTTTGTCATGGATTTGTCTTTCTTGGATTCACAATCAATGACCATGGAAGCTGCAGTCAAGAGATCAAAAGATGCATTGCATTTGGT